TAATACCAATCGAGTGTAAAAAATGATAAATACATAATAGACATAAACCCAAAACTTAGCTTTCATCAAGATCTTAAGAAGAGGTAGAAAACCCATTTAGCTAACCACTGCATGATTTCTCTGGACAAAACAGCTTGCAGAACAACTTAAAAAGACAGGCTGCTGGAATCTCTACAAAGAGAATGCGTTACAAGAATCAAAATCCAGCTGATTATTAGTCACGATCAATGTCTATATGTCACTGGGAGCGATATTTGATAGGAAGGTAGCAAGAGGTGAGATCTTCTCGTGGTGAACCCCATCGAGACGCTCCTCAACAATGCCACAGCATATAATAAAATACAAAAAAAGGTAGTGCCAAAAAGCAGTCGTAAAATACCTCTCTTTACTCCACATCCCACCTCTGTGAAGTAGACACAAGGGATGCCGGTAGTGGTGGGGGGGAGGCTGGTTTGGGGGGGGTTGGGTCAGAGAAAGTGCCTTTCATCCCGACTCGCTCCTGTAAATGCCAAGCGGAAGGCGACAGAGGGTTACAGATATCCCTGAGGGCCGGGACAGTGCTCAGCATTCAGCTAATGTTTAAGCCTCACACACTTTCAGGAATTTCAGGGATCTGTGTAACATAAGTCCGACTATTGTCCTGCTTTGGTCTCCTCCTAACATGGAAAATGTGTGTGAAGTCAGTTTGCGAATATGCAGGTAAATTAAAGCGCTCCATGGTTTGAGGAACTACATGGAAAAGGCACAAAAAGTTGGTCTTAATGGGTAAAAATGTTATATATTATGAGTCTTTTTACATTATTCAATTCCAATTTCTCACCTACCCTGAGGAATTACATAGAAAGAGTCAGTTTGCCAATAGTTAACCAGAGCTCACACACTGTGAAGTCACCAGGAGAATGTACATTAATTTGGTTTAAATCAGTAAAAATTGTATTATAATGTGAACCAGGCCTTTCTTGTTCCAACCACATTGACGAATGCACATAAAGTTGGTTTGAATTTGTAAAAGAGGTATTACACCATCAGTCGGACCTTGTTTTTACACTTTTCAACAAGTTACTACTGTCCCTATATCCTCAGGTTAACTAAAGTACACACTACGGGCCCTCACACACTTCAAAGGATTCCTTGGAGAATGATGAGGAAGTTCATTTGCCAATATTCCAGTTTACTGGTTCCTGTTATATTGCACTGTTTTTCTTCCTTATTTCTTTGATGTCTTAACAACATTGTATATTGGACTGTTGGAGGAGCCACCACATTTTCATGGCCACGCTGTTTCTATCCTGCATATCACAATGAGGAAAATGTCCTGATTGACAAAATTCAGGTTAACTAAAGACCACACTTTGTCGTTGCATTACATTAGATTTTATTTCTATTACCGGACGTTTGTTCTATCCAAAGCGCTTA